TATTTTGCTAGTTGTATTCTAGTAATTTTATTTTATTTGCAAATCAGAAAAAAATGAAGCGGCGAATCCGTTAACCAAGAAATTAAATTGGTGTGGCCTTACTCATGTTATCAACAGCAACAGGCTCAATGTCAACTTTTTTTTGTAAGACTATCCATGAATAGTTTCATCAGGTTGGTAAGACACTGAGTAAAAAGACTTCTGATCCAATCACAACCAATGCTTCACAGCAGATGTTTTGATGGCCGTCTGTCACCTTCCTCAGGGCAATTCTGACTGGTTCACATTGCATTACAGCACGGGTGTCGCTGCTGTAGATGCATTCCCAAATATACAATATTTACATATCTACACATATGCATGATTACAGGGAAATGTATCTACAATTTTGTAAGACTCTTGTTTTGACACATTTATGTCAGGGGTGCCAGAGTATACAGTGCAATTTTACGGAATACAGTGCAAGTTTACTAGTACAGTGCAATTTTACGGAATACAGTGCAATCGTATTAGTATACAGTGCAATTTTACGGAATACAGTGCAATTTTACTAATGACGTTGAATCACATGACTTGAGCCCTGCTTTCCTTCAGTTTCAAGATGGCGGATGCCGCTGACTCGCATATTTCTGTCTTTTTCGAGCGAATTCGAAATGATCCTTGTGTAGTAACATGCCCTGTGTGAGGTATGTAGTGATTTGATACTCTCCAAGCAGAGGTTTGGGTTTTGGGGGTATTTTTAGCGTGTTTTAGGTCTTTTTTTATCGGGGTTTCTCTTTTGCACTGTAATTTTTTTTCCCACCAAACCCAACTTGGTGGGAAAAAAAATTCAGTGCAAAAGAGAAACCCTGATAAAAAAAGCCTAAAAACACGCTAAAAATACCCCCAAAACCCAAACCTCTGCTTGGAGAGTAGTGATTTGACTAAAGGTTTATCTACTAGAACGGTCCAAGTTCGCGCAAAAAACACAGAAAAATGTGAGTATGCTCCATCAGTGGCATCCCTGGAAAGTCGGGCCCAGGTTACGTCATTCAACGTCATTAGTAAAATTGCACTGTATTCCGTAAAATTGCACTGTATGTATATTACTAATATTGCACTGTATTCCTTAAAATTGCACTGTATACTAATACGATTGCACTGTATTCCGTAAAATTGCACTGTATACTAGTAAACTTGTACTGTATTCCGTAAAATTGCACTGTATACTCTGGCATCCCTGCAACCACAAAAATCCATCCGTACGCTGACAAGCGGACTGAAGTGGGGTGCACATGTTAATAATATCACAACTAAGGCGAAACAGACATTGGGAGTGATTAAACGTAATCTGTGGGCATGTCCAACTAGAGTAAAATCACTTGCATACACGTCACTTGTAAGACCGAACCTAGAATATGCTGCGACAGTATGGGATCCATATACAAAGAAAGGCAAAGACAAATTGGAAAGGGTACAGAATCAAGCTGCAAGATTCTGTATGAACAACTATGAAAGAGGTGCTAGTGTCATGGAAATGAAAAGAAACCTACAGTGGACCTCACTGGAAGACAGAAGAAAGATGTCCAGACTATGCATGATGTACAAAATGACTAATAAAATAGTGGATGTCCCAACTACTAAGTAACTAATACCAGCCCAGAAGAGAACAAGAAATAGCCATGCATTCAAGTACCAGTCTGAGAGTTATCAACCAAGGATTGAGGTGTTCAAGAATTCATTCTTTCCTAGAACTATCGCAGAGTGGAACTCACTGTCACCAAGTACAGTAGGGGCATTGTCAATAGATAGCTTTAAACAATGTCTAGAGCTAGAAGTTCAAGGGTTAGGTGTAACAAGTCGATCGGTGTAATATAGCCAGCTGCTGCCGCGCCGCGTGCCTGCGAAGCTGGTGTGTTACGCCGAAAGGTGGTTATACCGGCTATACAGATACACTGATACAGATACAGATGTACTGTTTATGTAATACATAAACAGTACATAAATGTGTCAAAACTATAGTCTTGTCACTGCTATAGAGATAAAGGAAATTTTGTAGATTTAAAAGTATGGTTGGAGATTAAAAATAATAATAATAACCAACTGCCATTAAAAAGGTTTCTTTACCTGTATCTCATTGGATAAGAAGATGAGTACAGAGTATTGTGTAGTTCCTGCTTGGAGATTACTAAGTCAATCATTCGCTGGATGTGCCTCTGTTTTGTATGCTCTTGTTCCTGCACTTTTGCTTCCAGTGTACCCTTTTCTTGCTTGAGCCTGTTGATGCTTTGTTGCCCATCATACAGTGCATGCTCCAGGTCCTTCACTTTGGCATCTAGCCAATCCCATGCTTTCTGGAGACTGTTGATGTTTTCTTGCCTTTCATACAGAGTACATGCCATATTCTGCACTTCATCTTCCAGCATTTTTTTTTCTTGCAGCAGACTTTTCTTGTTTTCTTGGCTTTCATACATTTTATGCTCCAGGTCCTTCACTGTGGCCTGTAGCATGTCATTTTCTTGCAGAAGGCATTTTATCTTTCCTTGATTTTTATTCAGTGTACATGTCATAATCTGCATTTCAGCTTTTAACATTTTATTTTCATCTTGGAGGCTGTTTATGTTTTGCTCCCTTTCAGACAATTTGGCTTCCAGCATGCTCTTTTCTTCCAGAAAGCTGTTGAGGTTTTCCTGTATTTTATCCTCAAGAGAGACAATTTTCTTCACCTGCCCCTCCTCCTCCTGCATAGCTTTCTGCAGCAGCTGTCTCATGTTCTTATTCATGTCCTCATGCATGACTTTGATCTGGTTCATCAGTGAGGGTGTTGGGGATTCCCTATCCTGTCTCTCTCTCTCTCTATCCTGGTTTAGATTATTCTGCTGCTGGTTTCCCTGTCCCAGGGGTGGGCAGCAGTCGGCTGTTCTGGACACCTCGCATCCAGCTGGCTCTGTCCTGTGGGTCTAGTTAGTTGTGTTGAAAGTTTTTATTCAAGGCAAAGCAATAAATTTTGAGATTGTGAGAAGTTTAGGTACACATTTACTAATCATTACGAAACAGATTAGGATGCTAATCAAACAAAAAGTTTGGTATTTTAAAGGAGTGCAAAAAGTGTAAATTGTCATGATTTCGATTTTATCACAAAATATTAATTAAACATGTTCTTCAATATATAAGAGTCCTATCACACTTTTGCATATATCAACAAATTTAATTCGTTATAAAAAATTCAATTTGCAGGTTATGCTCAAAATTTCATAATTTTTCTATTGTCATGTAGTATTACTACACATACATGTTCAGTATCAGGGTGAAAGGTACAAAGTTAAATTCAGTAAGCTAACTTGGTACAATACCGGGCAAAGTACAAAGTACAAAGTTGTACGAAGTTATGACGTAAGGGATCATGACTTGGCCTAGGCTAACTAGGCTAACTAGGCCTTAGCTAACTTCGTACTGGGGCCTAGCGTACGAAGTACGAAGTTGTACGAAGTTATGACGTAAGGGATCATGACGCGGCCTAGGCTAACTAGGCTAACTAGGCCTTAGCTAACTTCGTACTGGGGGCCTAGCGTACGAAGTACGAAGTTGTACGAAGTTATGACGTAAGCATCAAGTGGTGACGCACGAAGTTAAAGTTGATTTCATTTTGTTATGACGTAAGCATTACGTGACGCCTTTGTACAAGGCGGCCGGGAGGGCGTCCGAAGTACGAAGTAGGAAGTTGGATGTGACATAACGGTTACTTTAGTGTAACATACATCAAGTTTTGTCCACAATCAATAAACAATAATAAAGATGATAAAAGATAAAAGATTGTCTGTTTCTGTCAACTGCCTTTTCTAGAAGATTAGTAGATAACGAAGTATGAAATGCAATATCATGATAAACTAGACTAATAATGGATAGATAGTGACTGATGGTATCCAGGTCACTGCAAAGACAAATTGATTTAAAAAGGTAATTGATTTAACTAGGTTCTAAGAACGCATTCGGAAACACCTGGCGGTAATGACGTAGTTATCAGTTGGTGATGTACGTAGAAAGAAGGTATACTAAGAAGATAAGAATTAGGGTTCTATATACGTTAGGGTTCTAGAAACATCAGTTGAGACATTTGAACTTGAGAAGTTGTATTGTCTTGAAGGATGATTTCTTGAGAACGATGTTAGGGGACATATTTCTCGGTATCTTTTCAACTTTATATCATCGTACAACTTTGTACAACTTTGTACAAAGTTAAGTTAGATTACATCATAACTTCGCACAACTTCATACTTCGTACGCTACCCCCGGCCCTCCGTACGAAGTTAGATTACGTCATTACTTCATACAGCTTCATACTTCGTACGCTACCCCCGGCCCTCCGTACGAAGTTAGATTACGTCATAACTTCGTACTTCGTACGCTACCCCCGGCCCTCTGTACAAAGTTAGATTACGTCATAACTTCGTACAACTTCGTACTTCGTACGCTACCCCCGGCCCCCTGTACGAAGTTAGATTACATCATAACTTCGTACAACTTGGTACGCTACCCTCGGCCCTCCGTACAAAGTTAGATTACATCATAACTTCGTACAACTTCGTACTTCGTACGCTACCCCAGGCCCTCCGTACGAAGTTAGATTACGTCATAACTTCGTACAACTTCGTACTTCGCCCTCTGTACAAAGTAAGGCCTAGTCATTTCTAACTTCTTACAACTTCGTAAATATAGAATACAACACGGGGTATTCCGTATCGCCCGAGGTATTGGCCCGACCGCGGGTCGATCCGACTCGCGGGAGGGCCGGGACCGAGGGCGATGCGGAATACACCGTGTTGTATTTTATTTATATCATACCCACCCAAGAAAACACGCCTTTCAATGCAAGATGAGCCAAAAGTTGGTACCACTAAACCCTAAAATGCAACGACATCAATTCCAACGTCCGGATTCTGTATTCGAATTTTCGAAAGGGGCACACGGGTTCCGGACCGGGCCGTACCGTAAAGTACGGCCCGGTCCGGAACCCGTTATCGAACGTTATCGCGGCCCGGGTATGATATAAAACTTCGTACCTCCCAACTTCGTACCTTTCACCCTTTCACCCCCCTTGGGTGGGGAAATGGATACAGACTGGCCAATTTGATACTGTCTTACCCCCACCAAAAGATCTGCTTGGAGATTAACAGGGCCCTAATGAGTAAAGACACATGTATATTATTAATCTCACCTTTTCTTCATCCATTGTGCTCTTCCTGATCCATTTTTTGTCCTTACTTGCCTCTTGAAGATTGTCATCTTCAGAGTAATCCTCTAGATTTTTAAACTGATACATAAAAATAAAACAAAAATTATAAATGAACTATGATTTTATTTAGAACAGGACCTGGTTGATAGTTACCTCAAATGAATTCTTAATATATGATATTGTATGTACAAACGCATCTAAGGCCAAGGAAAAAAATGTTGTGTTTCCTGTTTCCCCGACCAACCCTAGAAAAAAAATGCTGACCCTAACCTTTTTTTTTATGGACCCCTGTAAGGGACATACATTTTGTACAAAGTTAACTAATGATTTTTTTATTTGAGCTGATCGACCATTTCCATAATTTTGTAGCTTCTTGATCTGACACCTGAGTGATGAAACAATGTACAGTCTGTTTTCCAACATTGACATTGAAAATATAAGTGCCCCCATGCAAGTTTTACTTTCAAAATTGTTAAACTATATTGTATTTAAGTTGGATTACTAGAGATCGCCAAAGTGTAATAAAAAGAGAAAAAAAAGATAATCCCTATACCTACCCTAATTTTTTCAGGACTGAAACAGGAAATTTAATACAACATTTCTTTTCCTAGGCCTAATGTGTGTATGTATGTATGTATGTATCCATATTTATTAATTTATATTCATACAAACATACATACAATATCATATGTTAAGAATACATTTGAGGTAACTGCTGTATCAACCTGTACCTGGTCTTGTTCTTAATAAATAAGTTTGATGGTAATGACACGATGACAGTTTATTAATGAAAATATTTACATGTTGTAGCTTTATGTTGTGAAGTACTTGTACTTAAGGTGCATGAAAACAATCAGAGTGTTGCCATAGCATTTACCTCTTCTTGAAATTGTGTGGACGGAAGGTCTTGTTTAGAGGGGGGGCCACGATGAGCTGGCATTTTGGAACAACCTGTATGTACAAACAAGGACATTATGTAGGGAAGCCCAGGGCACAGAATAAGTCCCCATTCATCAACGTTCGACTCAATTGGCACCTATATATGAATAACCCCTTTATTGGCATATATACAAAGTTGCTGCAAGCAACCCCCTATTATATTGTTAAACACCAAAAATTCGGAGCACCCGGACTTTGTTTGGAGTGATGTTGAACATGATGTTGAAGAATTGTAGGCATGAGCCATATAGTTACATACATGTACATTATACATATGATGTATATGATGCAAATTAGTCAAGTAGCTCCTGTTGTTTCAGTTTCACTTTCAATATCAAATCCACATATATCTTAGACCGTGACACCTACTGGCCATGGGGGAAACAAGAAGTTAAAGAGGCAACATATGGAAGAATGTACAACCCTACCCTCAACAGGGAAGGGGGGCTACGGGTCGATCTTTCCGGCACTTGATATTTGGCACTCCCAGCCCTGAGAACAGACAACACTTAAGCTCCTGTTCTGAAACAACAGGAGCTACTTGACTAATTTGTATCATCCTTGCCTTGGCTTGTCTAACTTTTGTTGCCTTTTGGACTTTCAAAAAATTTGTCTTCACTTATTTGCATAGGCCGATTTCTGTACACTTTATTCCATAAGCGAGAACATACAACGTCATGTACAATGTATTCATCAATACACAACCATGTAGTAACTCAAATACTGTTTAGATAGTAGTTTGTAGTAAGTAAAGTTTTGTAGTATTGTTGTATTTAAAACCTCCTTGCACTGTGTTAACTGTTATGAGTACACATTCCTTGGCATACTGGTACATGCTACAAAATTTGAAGGAATGATTAATTCGACAGGTACCTTTAGACATGTCAGGTAACACTTCCTCCAACATGGCGCCTGCAAAGAAAAAGTTATACCCGGGACTATTTTTTCATAGCTTCATGGTTCAGTGCACTTTGTACCTCAAAGTCTTGGTCACATGATATCCAATTTGCAAGCAGGATATAAGTTACATGGGGATTCCCCAAGTGGCTCAGGGTAGTAAAAACAACTTGTATAGACTTTGAACATTGACTAAGAAGAATTCGGAGATCTCACACCTCCATGAAATATATGAGTTTTTACCTCCATGAAAAATGGAGGTATTGTTTTTGGCGCGTCTGTCTGTGTGTGTGTGTGTCTGTCTGAGTGTCTGTCTGTGTGTCTGTTGCCACAGATTTGTAGTCAGCATAACTTCATAACGCCTTTATGGATTGTGATGATATTTGGTATGCTGGTGAGTCTTAGGAAGACGAAGGTCAAGGTCAAATATGGGCCTCCTGGTGGATGACCTTGGTACTGCAGCAGAACTTCCGGTTTTTGTATCTTTTGTCCTGAACATGCTATGGTCTTGAATTTTTGGTGACAGATTTTCCTGTCAGGAATAAGTGGTGTGAGTTTGGTCCCCCTAGCAGCTTGTTCTGGAACTGCAGGGGACCTTCGGACGAAATCTTTGAAAGTCAATAAGTCCAGATAGGAACAACGTATTTTCATCATTTTTGGTAGGTAGGTAGCTGAGAGAGAGATGTACATAATTAAATGCAAATTATGCAAACGAGGACTTTATTTGCATAATTAATGAGGAAATTCTATAATTACAATGTTCAGGACAAAAGATACAAAAACCAGAAGTTGTGCTGCAGTACCAAGGTCATCCACCAGGAGGCCTATATTTGACCTTGACCTTCGTGAATGCATGGTGTAAAGTAGACAGTATATATTATTAATAACTCTACCCACTATGGGAAGCATTCAGAACCAAAGTGTCCTCGTGTAATACATGTAAATTTTTGCATGTATTGTGCCAACATGCCGTCATTCTTTTTTGTATTGGTCTTCTTGTTTTTATTTTTATTTTTTGCCCACCCGCTCCATTTTTTCTAGAAAAATCCGTTAACCAAGAAATTAAATTGGTGTGGCCTTACTGAACAATTTTGTTGTGACCAAGGAGGTTAAAAAAGCTTGGTGTGACACTGGGCTCAGAATCTTTGTCAATCTACATGTGTGTCTGGTATTTCCACTCAGGAATGAAAGAGAAGGTCAGCTGACAGTGTCTGCCCTGGATGGCACAGACTTGGTATTCACCTCTACGGCACCAGAGGGCGCTGTTGGTCTGAATGCTGTAAACAACAATCTTTACATTGGTGAGTTATATTACATACAGTTTTAATGTACTACAGACATGTGATTCTGAGGAAGGCTGTAACAACCAATCCTGCTTCAGATCTCACGTACAATTAATTTGCTACCTTTTCTGTTACCAATATAGGTTAAAGGCACAATTCGTCAACTGCCTTAATTTCAGGCACCCTAAGATTTGCCATATTAAAAAAAACTGAAAGAGATTTACTTGCTTAAATGCAGCTATCTTTGAGATTATGCACACTTCAGATCCATGCAAGTGTTCCATTTTTTGAGGCCTTGAAAATACCTTAAAGTTGTTTTAGTTACTGTTGTAGAGAGCCTTGCAGATTTGAAAGTTGATAAACATACATGTATGCATATCTGTTAGTTGTGTACTACATGTAGCTGTTACTGTAACAGGTGGTCACCCCAGCGCAGCTGTGCAGGTGTCTGCTGGGCGCTACACCTCAGGACTGGTGGGGTGTGTGGCATCGTTAGAGTTTCCAGGTGCGGGGACAGACTGGCAGGCAGCTGACCTGCAGCGGGATGCTACAGGTGGGCTGGACATCAGCAACTGTCAGGTGTGACACTCAGGAGTACAGACCTGGGCAGGGATTCTCTACCATGTTTTCTGCCTGCAAACTTGAAGAAGCCAACCATCAGGCACATACATGTACAACACTTGAAATTGCAGGTGGTAGGCATGTGTTGGTGTACTGTATGGAGCAGGATAGAGATAGGGCCAGAAGAGACTTTTAAATTAACAAACGTACAGATACTAGTTGTCTGGTTTCAATCTTAATTTAAGGCTTAGTGTTGAATGCTTCTGGGTTTTAAACTGTCCAATTGTCACCACTGCTCTTATATTCATTGTACCATTATAATACTAGAACACCAGTAGTGAGTGCGGGCCACACTTAGGACAAGTTGAAGTAGAATTGTCTACATCTGTACTCCATGAGAAACTGAGTATGGAAGCAACTTTGCATTTTTTTTTGCTGTTTGTAATGTTACGACAAATTATTATTAGGAACAAGTGACAGTCTAGTGCAATAAGTCAATTTCTCAGACTGTTGAAAATATTAAAAATTACAAAGTTTATATTAAAAGAGGACCATTACATCTGTGATGTTCAACATTTTAAAGTGCAATAATTAAAAATCATTTGTTAATGTCACAAAATTAGAAAATCATTGTGACAGTAATTATGGCTTCACCACAAAGTGGTGAAGACATATTGTGTTCCCTCATGTTTCTTCTTCTTCTCCTGCCATTTCTTTAAATCTCTGCCATTTTCCGGCCAAATAACACGAAATTTGGCATGAAGGTAGAGTGGGCAAATACCCCGACGCGTTTTTTTCATTTTTTTGAAAAATTGTTTTATTTGGGTTTTTTGGCCATTTTCAGGCAAAAAATATACATTTTGAGATCTGGTTCCCAGGTACTAAAACCAAATGACCTGAAATTTGGTATGGGGATACCTTGGACATATGTCTACAAAAACTCATTCAAGCTTTTGACATACACCACTTTAAAATTGGGAAAAATAAGGCTTTTTGGCTATTTTCGGACCCAAAATGTACATTTTTGGCTCCTGTGCCCTAATATTAAATCTGAATGACCTGAAATTCGGTATGGGGATACCTTGGACACGTGTCCGAAGAATGCCATTCACGCTTTTCACATATACCACTTTAAAATTGTGTAAAATAGGGCTTTGTTTGCTATTTTCGGACCAAAAATGTACATTTTTGGCTCCTGTGCCCTAATATTAAATCCGAATGACCTGAAATTTGGTATGGGAATACCTTGGACACGTGTCCAAAGAATGCCATTCACGCTTTTGACATATACCACTTTAAAATTGTGTAAAATAGGGCTTTTTTGCTATTTTCGGACCAAAAATGTACATTTTTGGCTCCTGTGCCCTAATATTAAATCCGAATGACCTGAAATTTGGTATGGGAATACCTTGGACACATGTCCAAAGAATGGCATTCACGATTTTGACATACACCACTTTAAAGTTATGTAAAATAGGGCTTTTTGGCTATTTTCGGACCCAAAATGTACATTTTTGGCTCCTGTGCCCTAATATCAAATCTGAATGACCTGAAATTCGGTATGGGGATACCTTGGACACGTGTCCAAAGAATGCCATTCACGCTTTTGACATATACCACTTTAAAATTGTGTAAAATAGGGCTTTTTTGCTATTTTCGGACCAAAAATGTACATTTTTGGCTCCTGTGCCCTAATATTAAATCCGAATGACCTGAAATTTGGTATGGGAATACCTTGGACACATGTGCTGCATTTGCTCTCAAGCAAATGTCGGCCTTTCCTTTGTAATTTGTTACAAAATCAGTCAGAAAGTACTGCGCAAAACCATTTTCTCAGGAACCTTGGTTTTCATGATGTGCCAAGTATTCTGTCAAATGCTTTTTAGTAACGGGAGGGGTCCTAATTCTGACCTATGTTCCATGCACACGCACATACCTTTGGTAATAGTTGGCTGACCAAAACCCGCGCAACACGAGCTATAATATTGACAGATAAAGACCACAACAATTAAAGCTGCACAGCTGTGTATTTCACTTCAGTGTAGCGCCTTGCACCCAAGCGTAATGGTTCACGAAACTTACGGCAGGTTTTTGGTCATTTTGCCGGTGGAACGTTCTATCGCTATAGGGGTGCCCTAATCCTGACCTAGTGTTTAACACAGGTCGATCTGAGAAGAGAGTTTTGAAATCATAATACACAAGTTATGACTAAAACAATCTACAACTGTTTTTTTATCCCAAACAAGTCCTCTTTTTACGATTACGCGACTTGCTCCAAAGCGGCTGTTTCAAAAGCAAAACCTGCATTTTTTACACATTCGTCAACCCCCGAACAAGCGTCGAATTCAAACAGATTTTTCACTCATCTGTTGTCAGAGTGTACAAACTAAAACAAAGTTTGTGCATTCTTGTGGTTATTTTTAGGCACGTGCTCCCATGCATAACGCCGCAACAATGATTTTTCAAACTAGTACGGAATTAGGGGTAGGTCGGAATTAGGACACCCCCCGTTAGTAGTAATTACTATCAAATTTTAGCATGCACTATTTGTATACATCATATATTGACTTACATTTATATACTAGTATAATATGTACCTGGGCCCTGACAATGTTTGATACGGGTGCTCCAGACTGGTCTGTACTTTATGGAATGTTTAGCTTTGTATTCTGGTATTAGATTTCTGGTATGTATGTACAAAATGTATATATTAGGACATGGTAAGAAGTCATGGTAAACATGTAACATACAACATTTTTAGTATGATGGTGGCAAAAAATGACAGAATCAATCACATTGTGAACCAGTAATTGATCTCGGGTTTAGAGGGACTGATGATTCAAAGTTCCATAGTTACACTGGTGCCAAAATTGTACATCAATCTGTGGTTGCCATTACGTTGATGAAGGTTAGACATCCAGGTAGCTTTCAGTCACTGACGAAAGCTAGTGGATACTAGCTGAAACGTCTGACGTTTTCAAAATCATATCCAGTTGCTTGAGTAACTGCTTTTTGGCGTGTGGTTGCCATTCTTATACATTATTTTGTACTTTATAATTTTAATAGCAATAAACTTGTTGGCAAGTTTTGTTGTGCCTTGTCGTATTCTTTTAAGACTTTCTACATGTCTTCATCCTGATTTTTTGAATGAACACTGTTATACGAAGCAAACTCATGATAAGTGTTTTTAGGGGGGTATCCAAAGACTATTATTGTACGTTTCACTGTAAACCCATCAATAACAAGCCTAGATATTGCAACAGCCGTGTAACTGTGATTAAAGCTGTACAGACATATATTTCATTAACGGTACCATTCTGCATTGAGTTTGACTGCTTAAAAGTCACAGCAGGTAATTCGCTCACTTTCTAGTAAAACGTTCCAACACAAACAGGGTCCAAACATTGGTTGTAACGTTTTGAGATTGCCATGTTCTCATTGTGTTCGCTCGTAGAGGGACCAGCGAGCGCCGTAGGCACGAGGCGAGCAGAGAAGGCGCGAGGTTCCTAGGGGGTCTGGGGACTGTTACCCAACATGCTCCCCGAGAAAATTTTGAAAACTGAACCTTCTGAAATGGCTTTTCCTGCATTTTTGCGAGGATTTTAAAGGAAAAACCACACATAACTTTTTGTTCACTGACAAATAGCCTGCGGACACTGCCCTTAGCAACAACTTAAAGGGCTGAAGTCCAAATTGTAAGCCCCGTAGCCTCCACCTCCTCAGTACATATTACTCCATCCCCCCTTGCGCAGTATACCCGACACGGCGACATAATCTTCAGCAGGTCAAAGGTGGTTGCTTTAAGGAATTGGCGGAAAAAAGAAGAAATACATGTAAAGTGAGAAGTTTTTCTATGATTCCAGCCCCGCAGGTGATACGAATCAGTCCATCTCATCAGACATTTAGATTTAGCCTTGGG